GCAAAAGTGCTCCAAGGCTCGATTCACCCCCACCCCCTCTGTCAGACCACACTCTTTTTCATTCCCGACACTTTAACTCACATGGGGAAAGTGATACTTGCAGAGTCCATGTCTTTCTTCCTTTTCCCCGGGGAGAAAGAGGACGTGGGGAACGGAAAGCTAGAAAAGCGATTGCAAGTGAGCAACCGAGCGATTGGGTTGGGGGCGTGGCCAGCCAGGGATTGCCACCGGTTCGGCGACCCATGCCAAATAACCGCTACCGGTTCGCCCGAATAGGTGTGAACCGGTTGAATAGCACCTCTGGTGCTAATAGAATACTTGGGAAGCTGTCCAAGTTTCTTTCTTTGTAGATTGTGCCCTGCTGTGCCATCTGTTATAGCAACTTAACTATAGTTCATTGTAGCACTAAAAACACTGATGGTGTATTATTGTATAGTAAGAATAATAGCTTCTAAAAAGCATGAAAAGGCTTCATTCCTTATAGTGAAATCAGAGCATGAACTAACCTGACATCCAAAGGATGTTATCACTATAAGTCCCTTCACTCTTGAGGAAGTTGATCTTGGAAATTTTTTAACCTTAAAAAACCCCAGCAACATATTTTTAAAATGGCAACCTTATGTTGGACATGGTACTTGGCTTTGTAGATGTCTAGAGACGTTTCTTCTTTGTTCTCACCTTTTCAATGAACCAAGTTTCAGCATCTTTGCGATTCTGTTCTGCTAAAGCTTCATACTCTGTTCTCATCTTGTTCAGAATTGCAGTCAGGTCCACTCCTGGTGCTGCATTTATTTCAACATTTATATCTCCAGCAACTGTGCCTTGCCAATTCTTCATTTCCTAAGTGCAGAAGGCAATGAGAAGGGTAAAAAGAGAGAGAGAGAGAGAATGAGAATGAACCATAATGCTAACTCATTATTTCACTGTACAATTAGTTTGGCTTGATATTTGAAATTTTTGCATGTAAACCAATTGTCTCACTTTGCACATCTTTATAAATATTTCCATGCAAGAGTTGCAGTGGAGAATGCAGTCTAGCAGCCTGCACTGACAACTGTTTAGTCTTTCTTTGATTTTTAAAAAGTAACATACACAATTAAAACTATAATTCAGTGAAGCCTCTTTTCTAATTACTACTTCTGAGAGCCAGATAGCTCCTAAATTTAACCATAGTGAATGCCATAAATCACAAATTGCCAAATAAACTATGATTACATTTCCCAGAATTTCTTAGAGTACATCAAGTTCCTGAAGGCTGATTAGATGTGGTTGTGGGATATGAACTGTTTTAGAAAACTGGTTCCCTTACCTCTTCATGGTTCCTTTTGAGGAAAGCCAGCTCTTCAATTAGGCTTTCAATCTGTATTTCCAAGTCACTCTTAGACATACTCAATTCATCCAGGACTCTTTTAAGACCATTGATGTCTGCTTCCACATTCTGGTGGAGGAACAGCTCATTTTCATATCTTGAAAAAAGAAAAGAAAACAAGAGTGTTTTGAAAAGTGCCAACTTGGTAGACCAAAATATTGCAAACTTGTAACAGAGGCTTGTTAACAGGTGGATTGTTTGAATGTGCTGAGGTCACATCTGGTTTTGCTTGCTTTTATCAGCATTTTTACATTTTGAATTGGCTGATCTTGGGCTGAAGAACCTACTTCATTCTGAAATCATCAGCTGCTAGTCTGGCATTATCTATCTGCAGAATCATGCTGGCATTCCGAATACTTGCTGCGATGATCTGTATGGAAGGAAGATAGAAAGCATTTTAGCAGGTTTATTGCATTCTATAAAAGTAGATAAACTGATCAGAAAAATCAAATACGTGATATATCTTATATTAATTTTTTGTAGAAAATTGAATTTTAAAGTACTACTGGCTTCATCGTCTGCTGGATTTGTTGAATTCAATTCATAACACCAACAGCATAGAGAGATTTATAGTCCTCCACAGCTGGGTACAAATTTATTACAGGAATAATTATATTACAGGAATAAAGATAAACAGTCTTCCATTATTTGTTTCTCAAGATGAATCTAGTTTGCTGGAATAGTGTGACTTGCAGTCCCAAACATATCTTAACATTACCAGATTGGGAAAGACAGTAAAACTGCATCATTTAGAAAGCCATAAGTTCACTATCTCTATGTTGGGAATTATACGTTAAACTTTGTATTATGCTAAATATATAATATAAAAACCTCTGTTGGTATTGATTCTATTAAAATATTACTTCTCATATTTTTTCCTTCATTATGCCAAACTGCTTGTCAGAAAGATTTTTATTTAAATATCCCTGTTGTGATTGGGTAATGGCTTTGCGTGTTGTTACCCAAAGGAAAACTTTTATCCAGCGTTAGGTAATTTATCCAGATTTGGGAAGTACTGACTTAAAGTAAACTGCATTTGTGTGCAGCATATTAGGAGGGAAAGTTTGAAATCATCTTTAACAAAATACTTTCTACGAGGAGTAGTTTTCCTTCACAACAGTTAAAAGGTGGCAGATCTATTTTGGCACCAACAAAAAGGGATTTTTGTTGACAACAAGAGAAGCAGATATTAAAAGTCCCTGCAGACTGTGATTCAATCCCTGCATTAATATTGAGGAAATCAAATATACATTGAAACCTGCATGTTATACATTTTAAAAACTATTTTAATTTTATCAGGATACTAACATGAAAATTACATGAAACAAAGCACTATGATTACCCAAAGTATCTAAATGAAGATAGTTTATGTTTTGTAGATACTGTCTCAGTTGAGAAGTGATCAATAATTATATTTTGAAAAATATTATTGAAACTATATTAAATTAAATCAAATCAATAAAGGAAGATGAAGAAAATGATAAATGAGATGACCAGAGTTTTCTTCTAATTTTCCTTTCTATTTGGTCATAATAATTATCCTGTAACATTTCCATTAGCTTATTAAATTTGCATTTGCAATGAAAGATTATTTATCTGAAATTATTTGGGTTGATAAAGCTCTGTAAAAGAAAGAGTTTGGAAATAAGCTTGCAGTAAAAAAAAAAAAGTTTGCTTCCCTTTCTTCCAGAATATTTCAGAATAAAAAGAGGCCAAATACAATGGACATATAGGAAAATGTAACATTTATACAGTGTGTGGCTGCTTTTTTAGAAAACAATAAAATAAATAAAAATACAGTTTTATAATAACTGTGAAATCTTTAAACTGTTAATAACTTTCAACTAAAAACACAGCAATTCCCTATTATCTAGTATAAAATTGTTCAATTAAAATAATTTCCTAAAATGTATATTTGATCATTGGAATCAGATATGTACAGTAGTGGTTCTCTTAGGTATTTGGAAACATTGACAATCTCAATCAAATATTTGTTATGGTTATAGACTAGCATTAGAAAGATGGGATACAAACAATTAGTAATTCTATAACTTAAAAATATGAAATATACAAGACTAAAAGCATTTTTAAAAAGTAAAAAATGTATTAAAAACAAAAAAGGAGAAATATAAAAAGGAGTAAAATATTGTCAATCTAATATCTATATACTGCATAATATGTATCTCTATATCTTTATTGTCAATCTAATATCTATATATAGAGATATTAGATTGACAATAACAGTTTTACTGTCTATATCTATATCTGTCTGTCTGTCTATCTATCCATCCATCCATCCACCTATCATTTATCTATCCATCTAAGGACTAGGATTGGATTCAATAGACAATTGGATTCATTTCAATTCTTCTTCTCATATGAAGAAAGCAGCTTTAAAAGTGGCTCATAAAAGTGTAACTTGCAAAATAAACCATTATTGTTTTGTTGAAATGGCTGTTATGGTAAAGGTAACTATGTACTTTCAGTTTATAAATAAGTAAGTGAAAAACTACACAGCTGGTTTGCTACAAATTTATCATAATTAAAAACTTAACAAGATAAGCATAGCCCATAAAGTTATTGGTAGACATTGACATGATCTAAAGTGTTGGTCAAGTAATTTGAAAAAGTTTGGCAGGTTGAAGTAATGCCCATTGTATATGTAACAGAACAAGTAGCTTGACCTAAAATCTCAGATTGTGTGATAAAAAATACAATTTATTTTGTAGCAATGATTCCAACTCTATAAATGAAAGACAGAGAGGAAAGAGAAGCTTTCCTCCCTCATTTTCATTATTATAGAGTTTGTGAAATTGACTGATAGTTCAAGACAAAGTTGTGCAACCTATAAAAAAAATTAATTTGGGAAAGGGCTGTTTTTTTTTTATTCATAGGAACTGTTGACTCTTCCATGGGTCTTCATGATGGAAGTGCCAAGTGATGAAACATGTCATATACTTGCATATGATCTAACACAGGTATGAAAGGGTGGGGCTTGCATTGTGACATTATGACACGTTTCATCATTTTGGTATCATACTGGTTAACAGCAAACATATATATCAGTCTTCTTCTCATAAACTTAGTATTTCCCATGAATCTAATCTGGGCCATATTCTAATTTTTCTAGTTATTTTCTACTCACTCATAAAACTTGTCATGACTGATTTTGCCTGTTTGTGTAAGTATTTTTATTTCACCTTGTCTCCCACCCTCTGGGTTCAAAGCACTACATTGCAAGAGACAAATACGATTGCAGTCATTGGAAAAAGCATCTAGCTACAAAATTATATTGTGCTTTTAGTGAGAATGTATTTATATGAAGAATAACATGCACCACATTTCTTTCTTTCTTTTATTTTTAATCTACACAGCAAGTGTTGAAAAAAAATTGAGTGGAATAGGAAGCTGATGCTCTTTTTCTGTGAAGAAGGAAAATTTTGTTAAAAGCTGTCTTTTAGGGGATGGGGCATGGACTAAAATTGAAATTTTGCACTCTTTGGCTAATTGGTTGGAGAAGAAACTAGTGATTAGTTCATAGTATACCTCTCTATCTCAGCATTCTAAGGTAAGCAGAAATGAAAAAACCATGGACAGCTTAAAAATGGTTCTGAAGAAATTGCTATAAATAGCTGTGAAAAGAACACATGTCCAGTTTTGCTGAAGAAGCTTGGAAAATCTTTCTCCACACTCCCTTTACCATGACAAAACACAATCTGATAACACATTTTTTCCCATTGTGTATCTATCACATTGCCATTATTTCCCCTAAGCTCATGAATGAAAGAGCTTTTAAGTTGCTCTTAGCTTAACCAATGTTAAAAGTAAATTTCCTCCCCCCCAATTCCAACATGCAAAGGTAGGTCAAAATGCATACAAATTGTTATGCTTTATCAAAAATTAGTAATCAAGTGGCTACGGTGACTAGGAAAAGATGTAACAGAGGCTGTTAGGACCCTGGTAATGGGGACTGCAGATGTCAGGCTGATATAGTTTATTGTCAAGGATGGAGGGATGACTTTCTAAATCAGAAGTGGAAAAAGCTGAAGTTGCAATGCTAAGAAGTAGTCTATGGTCAATAAGTACGTAATGCTATGATAAATATTTTCATTACTTCTGGGATAAATAGAGGCTTTTGTAATGGAGGTACCAAGGTAAGTTGTTGATAGATACCTACTCCAATTACACACACACACACACACACACACACACACACACACACACATTGCACACACACACCAATTTCAACAGAAACAGAATGTTGTGGGATGAAGCTCCCAAATACTGATAGATTCTGGCATGTGGCTCTGCAGATTACATTGTCTGTTTGCTAAACAACCTGAAGTGGTAAGATAATTCCTCATTTGATTTTTCAAAATCCATTGAAGAACTGACTTACCTTATTTCGAAGGTCATCAATAGAAGAATTATATTTGCTATCATTGTGGAGTCCTTCATTTTTGTGTGTTGTAGATTTCTGATACCAATTTCTGATTTTTTGCTCAAGATCACCATTTGCCTCTTCCAAAGCATGCACTTTAGCCAGGTAGGAAGCCAAGCGGTCATTTAAATTCTGCATGGTTTCTTTGTCTCCTCCAGCTAGAAGACCAACATCACCACCAGAAGGACTAGAGTTGTAGATATGGAAGCAACTACCAGTGGAACCACCACCACCAGTTTTACTCCATCCTGATCTGGAGCCCCAAACTACCCCACTACTAAAGCTTCCTGTGCTGGATCCTCTACCTGACCCATATATACCACAGCTAGAAAGTTTAAGAGGTGTCCCACTATTGCGAGAGGAAGAAGTTTGCCTAGATCCACAGCCAAAGTAAGACATGATGTTCCGTAAGTTTCAAGAAGAGTATGAAAATGAACTAGTGACAACCAAGAAGAACCTGAATCATAAAGAATAATCTCCAAGCTTTTATATGTCAATTTGTAAGGGTGTGGTCTTTCATTGGAATGTCATTTCATACCTACATTGTTTGGCCAATTTATCATTTCAAACCCACTTGACTGATGGCTATTAATAATGAGACCTAATATTCCATCCTGCTGATTTCCCCTTGGGCTATTTGTCATCCCCCCCCCTTTTTTTAAGGTGGAGAATGGGTGGATTTGACCAGGCCAAAACTTTCATTAACTTTTCATCAAGATTGAGTAATTATCTACATCTTAGTCTTTCCATCATTTTAAAAGCTCATTGTTATATACATATTTTCATTTTTGCATTTATGAAACAAAGTCTTTCATAATAGGAGGGTGTACAAGCCTTTTTTGAGGAGAGTGGTTTTTCTTTGTTATTTTTTCACCCTGGGTGTTGGTACAAAAAGCTATGTGACTTGGTTTATTTCTAGAAAAGCATCCTTATGTTATTTTAATGTATTTTTTTCTTGTGTAAAAGCTATTTCACTAATTTCTTTCTTAAATATCAATGGTTTTATTTCTTGCCATTTTTTCTTTCCCTTTCATGTCATTAAAGATCCAGCAGATGAAAGACATTTCAATAGCTAGCTTAATCAAATGGAAAAAAATATATAAAAGTTTTGACTAAAAGCTCACAACTGAAAAAAGGTCAAGCAAATTAGATTATTTGTATTGAATCAAGTAGTCTTGAAAATACAAATGATCTCTAAAAAGCAGTGGTTAACTTCTGAGAAGAGCCACTCACAAGGATTTGACATATATTGGGTATTAAATGTTAGAAAAAATGTAGCCTAATCCTAGAGAAATTAGTTTGCACCAGTCTTTATAATCAGAGGTAAAAAATTATTGAAGAATATTCTCCACTGAGCCGAAGGAAGAATCCAGGCTGGACCATCAAAAGCCTCATAACTCTCCAGACCAAGTTGAAATCTGAGGACAACCCCCCCCCCCCCCCCGGTAACAGTCCCCACTTCTTCACTCGGACTCAGCGAGTTCAGCCTAAAAGGGCTCTGAAATATTGGACTTTATTGAACAATAATTCTATCCCCTGAATTCCTCTCTTCAGTAGCTTAGTGAAAAGGTTTGACAGCTGGCCAGCGTGGTTGATTCAGCCACTTTTTGTTTTTTCGTGCCTTTTTCCTTTTGCACCATTTTATTTGTTTCCCTATTATACTTTGAATTTTTTCATGTGTGTATTGTGTTTTTGCTGTTTTTGGAGTGAATTGGGGACTGTGAGTGCCCCTAGAGCCCATGTGGCTTGTGTGGTTCCAATTCTTCAGACTGTCTTAGACCCTTTTCTCCTGACTTTTGAAAGCTGTGGCAGCTGCGAATCGCATTAGACTGCCTATTTTAAGAGTGGCTTTTACAGTCCTTGGAGGCAAGTCCTGCTTTCGACCAAATTTGGGGGAATTTGGGACCTGGACATTAGGTCCAGTTCACTTGGCAGCCCCCAGAGCACCGTGGCAGCAGCAAGATGCTCCTCTATCAGAGGGCAGGCAAGGGTAACTCAGAGACGAGGATTTGAGTGCCTATGGCAGTACTTCGCTCATTCCATTGGTGGCAGTCCAGGGCCATGGATCAGGGATGTTTGTACAGGGAGCCCCAGAGAATTTCCATCACCACCGATGTCAGTCTGTATGGTTGGGGGGCTCACCTAGGAACCCAGGTTGCCCCTGGGTGGTGGTCACAGGAGGAGCTCGCCAACAACATAAACTGGCTTAGCTCTCAAGGGTCTAAAGCAGGAGGTCAATGTGGCCACCAAGGCCCACATAAATTGCCAGTGGGGCACTTGCTCCAGATCCCTGATGCAGGAGGTGACTCAATTGTGCCAGTGGGTGGAGAGACACCTGTTATTGATATGAGCAGAGCACGTCTTGGGGGTCTCCAATGTGCAGGTAGACTGGTTGAGCAGGGCCACGGTCAACCAGTCGGAGAGGTGCCTGTATCCCAGTCTGTTCCAGGAGATGTCAGAATGGTTCGGCCGACCGATTCTGGACTTATTTGCGTCTCCAGAGAACTCGCAACTCCCGAGGTTTTTTGCAAGGTTTCCAGAACCAGGGGTGAAAGGGGTCTATGCTCTCCGGTGCAGATGGCCACAGGGGCTATTGTATGCTTTCCCACCCCTTCCCCTGATCCCAGGGACAATCAGAAAGGTACAGTTGGAGAGGGTGGAGGTTTTGTTGGTCCAAAAGGCCCTGAGGTCCAAAAGGTTGGCGACCTCTGCTCTAGAACAGTATTTCTCAGCCTTAGCATCTTTAAGATGTGTAAACTTCAATTCCTTCAACATGTTGGCCTGGAAATTATAGGACTACAATTTCTAAGATTGAGAAACTCTGCTCTAGAAAGTACTAATTGATCCAAAGAAGAGGATTTGACTCACATATATTTTGTTTCTTTTGACCCACATATACTTTAAAAAGCTTATATAAGGTAGATTGCAGCTATTCAAATTACGATAACATTCCATAAAATGCTGTTTACTTATTCAGTAAGATTACTGATATGATATTAATTATAGTTTTGCATGACTGGACCACCATAAATCAGAATCCTGGCAGATAGAATTTGAGTAATTAGAGTGATTGCTACCTGATATGTCTTTGTGGTGCATTTGATTGGACTCTAATTTTGCTGCTTTATTGACTGCTGACATACACTGTGAGCAATATGTGATCAATAGTTTATATGTAAGCAACATGAAACTTGACAGTTTTTGCTGCAACATGCAATGTTTATTGCGGAATGCCAAAAATGAAGTCAACATTTTCATTTTAGAATTGCAAAGAAGAAATGTGCTCTGAAAAGAAGCAGTTGCAGAAGCCAAGAAGGAAAGGTGATCCTATTTTCAAAGGTATCTATCTGTTTCTATCTGTGTGCTATGCTTTGAAAGACTTCGTAGTAAAGTTGAGGCTGCTTATTTAATGGGCTTTTCTTCAACAGATTGAACACGAGTTGAGACAACTTGGTCACCAATTCTATCTTCCACTATGGTCCTGATCACTCTTGTTTTTTGGGGGTCTGTAAAGAAAGAATTCAGAGATTTAGGAGAAAAATAATCATTTTTAATTTTAAGCCAATTTTGCCGGAAAAAAAAAGGTGTGGCTTAGATAAAGAGGAAGCTGTCCAATGTTGATTTATCGAGTCTAGTTTGTTTTACAGCAAATAAGAATCTTTCACAATTTCATGCTGAACATCTAAGGATTGAACCTGGCTCTTTCTGCAGGCAACTCATTGCTTCATACTGAATTTCAATCCTTCCCCAATAAGTCTCAGCAATTAAATAAAATATTTATGGCTAAAATATTGGAAGTTAACTCCATCAATCAAAATTTGTACAAAGCTTGATAGTCTATTGGCCATCAATAGGTTTCAGAAATGATGGGAAAGGAATGATATTTGACTCTGATAATTCCTTTAAGTTATATAGAAGAAGATCCTATAACTTTCATTTTGTGTAAAGGGTTGGCTAAAGATTATTTTTTTTAACAAAAAACATGTCAACCATATTTAAAAAAATATTATTTGAGACTTGTTATATGATTTGACTGATGGACCCAATTTACTGCAACAAATGGCCCATTCTGATGGAATTTGTTTATTTTTCAATATAAACTGCAGTCTTTATCACTTTGAAGCAGTTTAGACATGTTGAATAATATCTTCTGGGGAATCCCAGAACTAATCTAGATTGAAATTTTTTTTAAAAAATCACCAAAGAAAGCAATGGCCTTCTAGTGGACTAGGAAGCTAAATGGGCACATCCATTTAAATCATAAATTAAGCTTCACTTTAGGTAGTCCTTAATTTAATCTAAAATATATATATTAGCTATCAAATAGGGAAAATCTGGTGTCCAAGAAAAAGCAGTCAGCAAATATTCAATATTGCATTTTGTCAATTAATTAATGGAATCTAATCTCATATTTTTAAAATGTACTACATTTTAATATTATCAAAGCATTTGTTGCTGTTCTCTCAAAAATGCATTTTAAGAGTATACAAATGTACACTACAGCACCCATCTCAACTGTTTTGTGTGGCAGGGAAAATTGAACTGGCACATGAAGAAAATATGAGTTCTATTTGCCAGACCCAACTTCCATGGTTTTAGTATCCACATTGTACAGGATAACTCATAATACATAGCTCATTGAAAGAACACTGCTGGCCTTTATCTTATTTCTACACCATATCTATATAACAACAAGTTTTAAAGTAAGATTAAGTTTCAATAGGGAACAAATCAACATTTTTAATGGTTCAATGGATAGCAAGATAACACTGTTTATCAAAATATGGAAGTAAATATATATAAAATAAGCAAAATGTATTACCTCTGAGATTGTTTCCAGATCCTAATTTATCTGTCTGTTTAGAATCTCCAGATCCAGAACCTTTGGACTGGGACTGAGAGGTGGCATATTCTTGTATCTTAAATCTTTGCTCTGCAGATTCCCCACTTCTAGATTGAGTACCTGATGATGATTCCCTGGATCTTAAATCTGCTTTAGATCTAGAGCTGAAAGATGGCTGGTCTCTAGATTTTGAACCTGTTTGTCCTCTGGATTTAACATCTGAAAGTGGTCTCATGTCTCTTCCTCCTGAAGTTCTATCAGTACTTCCAGTTTCAAAATTATATAAAGGAGAGAGAGAGAGAGACAGAGACAGAGACAGAGACAGAGAGAGAGAGAGAGAAAAAAAACTATTTAAACATTTTGCTGTAGATAACCCTAAAATGTTTTTTCCCCATTTCAATTTTTGGTAGAAATGAACAATTCAATTTGCTGTGCCTTTTTTTATTGATTGGGGTGGGAGAGTTGTTCATGTTATAGAATAGAATAGAAAATATCTTTTAAAGAGAGGTTACCATTCTCTGTTCTCTATCATCTAATATAGAATGATATTAAAATTAAGGAAAAATGAAACATTAAAACATCTGAGAAAGAGTCTTTGGTTAGTATTTGAGGAACTACTGGTCTGCAACTACTGATTGACTCTAGCCTACAACATCTTCAGACAACATCTATTAGACAAAGTTTATTGTAGTTCAAGCAGATCTGAAGTGGTATATGTTTCGGTACCTTTTTCAGGGAGAAACTCAGGTCCGGCAAGATCAAAGATTTTTAAGAAATACAATATTCTCCAAATTTTCACCTTACCTTTCACTTCCATCAATGAGACTTCGGTAAGTGTCAATTTCATTTTCCAAGCGGATCTTAACATCCAGGAGCTGTTCGTATTCTCTGTTCTGACACTCCATGTCATCTCTTATCTGCTGTACTTGGCCTTCCATACTGCCAATCACTTCTTGCATTTGGGACAGTTGGCCACAGTACTGACCTTCTGTCTCTACTAGAGTAGCCTCAAGAGATTGTTTCTGATGGAAAAATAAAATAGTATGAATGCAAAATGAACACTGTATGAATGCAAAACATGACTGACTAATCTTTTTTTCTATTATCAAGAGCAATGTTCCCTTGGAAACAGTCTAAACAAACTTGTGGGCTGTGTGAAAAGTTTAACTATGGTGCCAGGTCTTTTTTGTTTTTATATTTTTTTTAACCATTGATATGTTTTTCCGACATGTGGACTTCAACTTCCAGTTTTCCATAGCCACTAAATCTGCACTGTCAAATAGCATCTGTCAAATAGCATTGATTCATATATTTCCTTCATAATCTGCTTTTAGATGTTATATTTAATATGAATAAAAATAGTTTCTATTTTTCAGATATAGAATTTGTTATCCTAATAAAGTTGGATATATTGCATGTGATTGATAGTTAACATGAATTAGGTTTGTGCATGTTAGAATTCTAAGAAAAAATATTAAAGGATCTTTTCTTTTTCTGCAATAATTACTATGAATCCTTTGTGAATAAGCAAGTAAGAAATTATAGAATTTCATTCAAAGCCATTTTCCATGCAGTATATTCCATATGAATAATTTCAAGTTTCAGCTACTAGACAACCTGATTGTGGGAAATATTCACACATTTGGACTAGCCAAAGATTCCAAATTTAAATAGGGAACAGCCATTGTTGGTGCTCCCCCCCCCTACTATTTGTCTCTTTGGGGAAAAAAAATGGAGATTGCATGATTTGATTGAATTTGATTGAAATTTCATGAATGGAATTTAGAAAGGATCACATGCCCTGCCTATTTCTTTCTTACACATAGAGATACATGTCTCAGGACATAGGAATGAAAAGTTGAGTCAAGGAAGAAATGTTAGTTATTACAGGTATTGCAGGGCTTCATCTCTGTTGGTAGTTGAAAGATTAATTAATTAATTAATCTTGTGCTTTTTTGGAGATAAAATGAACCACCTCTACTATTGCATATTAGAGTATGGAGTAACACACTAACATTATTAAGCATGCAGTGCTAATACAGTCTCTATGTATTTTAAATCAATGGTGGATAGTTGTGTTTAGCTCTTTAGGTGTTGATGGATCCAAATTGTGATAAATTCATCTTCATAGCAATTATCAGAGATAGTGGGAGTTGTATTCTAATAATATTTGATGGTTACCCTGCATTACTGTCAATTTCTCAAATTTTCAAGAATTGGAGACAGAAGACTATGATTATTTGTCAAGAGAAGATTAAACATTTAATTAATCCATAATTTAAAGCTACTATTAAAATACTTCTGGAAAAAGAAAATCTACCAGTGATTGTTGAGATTGCAGTTCAATTTCAAGACTCTGCAAAGTGCGTTTCAGTTCAGTAATCTCACTCTTGTTGGTACTGGTTTCCTCAACATTGATGTTGATCTGCTTGTTCAGTTCTTGGCTCTGAAAAAATCAGAATTTGAAAAAGGTTGTTGCCCACATTTTTCAATTAAAAATAATTTTGTTTTAAAAAGAATCTTTATAAAGAATATTATTAGGATCTATTTCACCTGCTCATTAAACCAAGCCTCAATATCCTCTCTATTCTGCTCAGCCAGAACCTCATATTCACTCCTCATCTCATTAAGGAGAGTAGTCAGGTCAACTCCAGGTGTGACATTCATTTCAACGTTGATACCTCCAGCTGCAGTAGAATCATTCATTGAGCCCATATCCTGTATCAGGAAGAAATAATAATAATTTATGTTTTTAACAATTAAGACAGACTTGGAAAGTTTTGATTAAGTCTATCTCATTTTGTTTGAATATGTTCAGAAATCAATGTCTAACAGACTTGGAAGTACAATATTATGATGCTGTGAATCTTTAGCATACACTTTCATCTTATGCAATGATTCAATACATGTCTTAAAACTTCTGATGGTCAAAAAAGCTTGTAGCATATAGAGAAAATACCTGGCAGTTTTAGTTTAGTATTTTGGAATTTTTATTTGGTGTGTGCTTGTATATAGGATTAATATAAATCCACAAATTGGCAGTTGAGACAACCAATGATAGTTTCAATTTTAATTTCTAGAAAGGTAAAAATTTAAGCAATGTTATCCAGATATTTCAGTGTACTAAATTTAAAGACCATTAATATACACCTAGACAGCAAATTTTAAACCAAATGTATAATCTCTAAATTGCACTGTGTTTGTTGTTGGAGGTGGGGAAACTTAAATCCATCTCAGCAATGTGCAGAATTTGCCCTTGATGCTTTTAAGTAATTGTTTAGACTGAATTTGACAACCTAATACTCTCCTGAATATATGTAGATATATTTGGGCTCTGAATTGCAGCAGTATCTGAATTAACTATGAAGCATGAAATCTTCTATTCTACTTGTCATTTGAAGTCTGTAATAATATTGTGACATGCCATAGCAATCTTCCCCTCCCACATTCTCATTCTTTACTAAGGAAAAAATAAATTTTCTGAGAACACCTATAGGACAAAATTGATATAACTGGTATTGGTCCAAACTCCAGAAAGATGTGGCTCAAATCCAAAGTGGATCTCGGGTGGAGAAATATGTCAGCACTCCTCCCATTTTGTATTCTATTCATGATTGACATGAATATCTTGTTTATACACCACTAGAGTTGGATTAGGGAGATTAATGTCCTTTTTTTTTTGGCTAAGACAATCCAATTTAATCCTCTCCAATTCTTTTAATACTAGCCAATGAGAGTTTTGCCAGGTAGCATCTTGAGACTTTCACATATTGGTTTTTGTTGACATATATTTTTGTCCCTGTTTTTATGTATAAATAATCCCCGAAATAGTACCTCCTCATGATTTTTCTTCATATATTCCAGTTCTTCAGTAAAGCTGTTAATCTGCACTTTAAGATCACTGCTTGTTATCTCAATTTCTTCCAGGGCCTTTCGTAAGCCATTGGTGTCCATTTCAACACTTTGATGGATGGCCAATTCATTATCATACCTAAAAGTAATTAAAAATATTGTCAGCTTCTGATACATCTGAGGAAAATGTATATTTCCTCTTTCCCCCTTGGTCTTCATTCAATGCTTTCTTCAGCTGTTAAAGATTGGTTTTAAAACAATAGTCCATATTTGTAACGGCCATGCCCTGCTGTTAAGTGACAAGGAATAAAATGGAGAGCTGGAGGGGAATTATCCTATTAACCCTCTGCTCAGCAATATGGAGCAATAGAAAATGTATTTGCTGCACTACCAATGTCATTGTAATTTATAGTAGGTAATTTGCATTGTGTGGTGGGCTGTGATCTTTTACCACTATGGCACCACGTTAGGGCATTTTGTAGCTATAGCAAATAAGAATATTCAAAAATACACCAGAGTTCAGAATTGCATTCCTCACTCATTCTCTCTCATATATAAAATTATTATCAGCAATGATGATCATTAGCCTGCCACTTGCATCACCAGTATATTTTCTCTAAACTGAGAGTTGATAGCTAACTTTATTAGGCATTTGGAATTTGCTTGTATTGAAATACTTTGAGATCTGTTTTTTAATTTAACCAGCAAAGCCCTTTACTTTGAGAGGCACGTTCTTCTAGATCATGAAGAAAAACAGAATATAGGAAATATGTTAATTTTCCTCCTCCTTACTTGAGTTTGAAATCAGCACCAGCCAATCTAGCATTGTCAATCTGCAAAATCATTGTTCCATTGTCAATTGATGTAGCAACTATCTAAAAGACATAACATAGAATGTTTATTTAACATAGATGATTTTCAACAACTTTAATATTGCAATCCCACTGCATAATATAAATTCTAAATAAGTATATTAGCAATAGCACTTAGACTTACATATCACATCACAGTGCTTTACATCCCTCTCTAAGTGGTTTACAGAGTTAGCATATTCTCCCCAACAATCTGGGTATCCATTTTACCAGTCTCAGAATGATGAAAGTCTGAGTCAACCTTGAGCCAGTGAGAACGGAACTATTGAGTTGCTGGCAGTCGGCAGTTAGCAAAATTAGTCTGTAATACTGCATTCTAACCGCTACACCACTACAGTTTATTAGAAATGGAATTAGATTAATATACTTAATACTTCAATTGTTGGCATATTTGGTAAATGTAAATGTATATTATATAAGGTTTTTTTTTCCTTGTGTTCAATTGTTTTGGTTCTTGGAGACAGCCTTGACAAGTCCTTGCAGTTTTCTTGACAAGAATTTTCACAAAGTTTTCACTGCTTCTTTCCTAGGGCTGAAGGAGAGTGACTGGCTAAAATCATTCAACTGACTTTTGTGATCAAGGTGGGACTAGAACTCTCAGTCTACTGGTTTCTAGCCTGATGCCTTAACCACTAACCTAAACTGGCTCTGTTATATAAGATACTATGCCGTATAAAGTAGACCAATTAGTAAATGTCAAATTTCTTTCAAGTAATCAGATTGCATAATTCAAGAACTTTCAATAAGATCTCATCCAAAACCTAACAGGACCATTTGTCCTTTACTGAACTCAAAAGTTATCTTATTATTGTCATGTCATAAACTGTGAGAAATTACAGAGGTGTGGCACATCTTAACTTTTTTTCTCTTTAAAGGAGGGTGACTAACATTTCAGCTTTATCCATGAATACATACATATCTCAGTTGGTTTATTGAAACTGAGACTGTATTGATGAAAGCAATAAAATTTACTGCCTTGCATCACATCTATTAAAGATAAAAAGAGTCTCCAAAGGAGACATTCACAACTGAGAATTCTACTCCCTCACTTGCAGAGTATATGCTCCTCTCCTGCAGAGCATTCCTCAGATATTTCCTGATCATTAAACTTGGCAATAGGAACTGCCTGCTGTTAATGAACATTAGAAACCACTCTGGCTCATCTCTTAAGGCTAATATAGCACCATCATACAGTAAAAGACAAAAAAAGATTTATCCTACTAAACTTCTTTCTTTTCTTACCTGATTCCTAAGGTCATCAATAATGGCATAATATTCACTATAGTCTTGTTGTTGTCCCGCTTGGTTTCCTGCTTGAAACATTTCATACCATTCTGCAATTTTACTTTCAAGTTCACTGTTAGCCTCTTCCAGTGCTTGGACATTTCCAAGGTAAGTTGCTAAGCGGTCATTAAGGTTTTGCATTGTTTGCTTCTCACCACCAGAAAGAAGGGCACTGTCACCACCTGCAAAGCTACCAAATGCTCCAGCTGAACCAGAAGTGCCCCATCCAGCACTCAAGGTCCTTGATCTGTTGCCTCTGCATGCTAGGCCACCAGAGCCCAACCTGCTCCTGCTTTCTGCCCCCCCACTGAAGTTGCACATGCCCCATGCTCCACTGCCACCACTGCCACCACTGCTGCAACCACTACCAACGACCCTGCTACTTGATCTACTACTAAAGCTGCACGATCCACCACCAGATACTCTTGTTCCTCCTCTGCCACTGCGGGAGGAAGAGGCTTGTCTGGATGACTGACTCAAGAAGCTCATGATTCCAGGACAAGAGAAAGGATCTTCCTTGTGCAGAAATGTAGCTTAGGTTGTCCTTGGACTGTGGTTTTCTACCCTTTTATATGTCAGTTTAACACTGCATCATAAGCACAAACGTATGATAATTTTGTCAACAGATTAGCCTAGCCCATCATTAAATAATTAAAACAATTATTAGATAATCCTAATACATATATTTAGGCCCTCCCCTTGATTATTCACTTGTTGAGATGGAAAATAGGTGGAGTAGTCTGGGTCAAACCTTTCATTATAATTCAAGCATTTTTTTCCCTAAAACTCATGTAAAAACTTTCCATTTTTAACTTTGCTTCTTAATGTTGTACAACATATGTATATTCAAACTGTTCATATTAAACTGTATTTTTATTTTACCGCATGTGCTCTTCCAATATAACGTTTCCACATGTTGCTATACTTATCAGAAAACCAGTTGAGGGGTAAAATTTCTGTTTGACAATGAAACTTCTATGTCATATTAGATTGATCTCTAATAAACAAGGCAAATTGTTCGTACATTTAATCATATTTAGGGATAATTCCAAATTATTTTACTATCATTAATAAGATTGTATTGTTTCCTAGCACAGTCATTTTTATTAATATGTTGGAAGTAATGTTCTAACGTAGTGAATAAAAGGGCAAAAGTAAATTTATTTCACCGACCTTCAATTGAAACAAAGCATAGTAGATATATTTTAATTACATTCTAATGGGAGTCCATTCCATTCAAGGCAGCACATTAACATCATTTTGCATTTTCACACCAGTTACACAGAAGCTGGCTACCCTAAGAGTTGCTTAACAGAAGGAGCAGAACAACATAAAACTCCACTGATTTGCCTGAATATTCCAGGAAATACAGGGCTAATATATTTAATATTGTTAGTTATGAGTTTAATCATTTTCCACTTGTGCCCCTTTAAAAATAGAATTTTAAAGAGCTTTTAGATATTTTTAATACTATGGAATAACATATTGCACTTCTGAACAAACATATGGAGTGTTATACATATCTTCCCTTAATTTACAAAGCTATTAACACAACTTTCCCAGCAATCTTTTGACAGCCTTTTGAGGTAGTCAAGGTGAAAAGACGGGAGTTGCTAGAGAAATGGAAGGTACTTTGATGTGGTTAGGCTAATGTAACAAGACCTTCAAAGCCTGTCAAAGCCTCTGTCTACTTCAAATTATACCTAATACAGCCATGGTGCAGTTGTTTTGATTTTCTTTCTCACACTTGTTACTTTCCTAGTACTCAGATATCTTTTTCTGTAATTATTCTATATAGTCCAGCACACCTTTAGAATTCAAATGTCCTTGTTTGCGCCTTAATTTTTCCAGTTTAGGTGCTTCTATTTTTCCAATTAATATATGTTCAAATACTCTACCACTATTATTTGAATATAGTTTTTAGGAGCATATTTTCCTTTATCAGAATTTTTGATTAGAGAAAAATGAATCCTCTTGAATTCCATTTAGTCCTAGTGTCCAATGCTGTTGTGAGGTCTATTGGAAGGGATTGACTAAATTCACTAGTGGTGATTCCTAGTACTTACGAAGGGTTACACTTTGTTCTGTACTGTTGCATTAATCCTTAATTAATCTAAATTAGATTTTGATTTTGGATATTTAGCAGCTCCTAGGTTTTTGAAAGTAATGGGATAAGTCATAGGTCTTGCTGCAAAGATTTAAGAGTAAATCACTTAAAGCACTTAGAAGATGGTAAAATAAATTTTTAAAAATTTTATTGGACAGTAAGAGAAGGTTTATTGGTTACTGTATATACTCGAGTATAAGCCTAGTTTTTCAGCCCATTTTTTGTGCTGAAAAAATCCCCCTCGGCTTATACTCGAGTCAGATTCCCCTCTGAAAAAAAAAATGGTGTGGAGTCGCGGCCTCCGGCGGCAGCGACTCCCAACAGCCCCAGCCGGGAAGGGAAAGGCAAAAAGCGCTTTGCCTTTCCCTTCCTGAGGCGGCGGGACTGGGGCCGCTCCGGCGGCAGCGACTCCCAACAGCCCCAGCCGGGAAGGGAAAGGCAAAAAGCGCTTTGCCTTTCCCTTCCCGAGGCGGCGGGACTGGGGCCGCGCCGGCGGTAGTGACTCCTGACTCAGGGGGCCTCCGAGGGAGGGGAAGAGAGTGACTCCTGCCTCCCGCTGTCATCATCATCTTCTTCTTTTGGGTTAGTGAATCAATTAAACCTTTCATGATAGTGAGATCGTTTCCCAAATTAATTATTTTTATTTTTGAAATTTACCAGTAGCTGCTGCATTTCCCACCCTCAGCTTATACTCGAGTCAATAAGTTTTCCCAGTTTTTTGTGTAAAATTAGGTGCCTCGGCTTATATTCGGGTCGACTTATACTCGAGTATATACGGTATTTGACAATGACATTGTATAATAAAATAAAATGCCTTATAAGCAAATATATTGCCCAGTTTCAAGGTCAAAATATTATTTATTGACTAGTAAATATGGCTCCCCACCTCCTCCAAATTGATTCTGGATGGCATATTAAAGCATGCTACAAAACCAATTAAAAACAGTGAAAGGAGGAAATAAAAAGTAGACCACAAGCAAGAGAATATCACATGTAATAAATCATTTTGATTCAAGCACAATTTTTTGCTTAGCAAAGTACTTTTCTGTTCACTGCCCTGTCTGTAGGTGGAAACTGATTGTGCTGTCGGTAGCCAGTGACTGCTGAATTACCATGACATGCTTACTATATACTGACTAATCATATCTGCTTTCAGGGAACAGATCAAGTTGTTGTCCTTCATCCCACCAATTAAGTTGTAGCCAGAAATGACTGTTGATTACTTAAATCTCTGTTTTCTATTAAAATAATATTCTATGTAGGTTTTTTTTTGACAAACTTTGAAAGATAAATTCGTGATTTTACACCTCAGAATCAAGTTTTTTAGCCTATTAGTCATCCTCAACTGTGATCATCACATTTGCGGAAAAAATGAGTATCTTCTGTGTAACGTCTGCCCCATTTCACTTAAAATCTGACTCTGTCAGCTGACTAATAGGTTCACAAGGGCAAGGTATAGCACCTATAGTGAAAGCCAGCCCATGTTTAACAAAAGAACCATTGTTAACCCCACTTATTTTCCAGATTCCAGTCCATCAGCACGGGGTGGGATTCAAATTACTTAACAACTGGTTCTGTGGGTGTGGCCTAATTTGTGGATGTGGCTTGGTGGTCATGTGACTGGGTGGCCGTGGCTTGCTGATTGGGCATGGCTTGGTGGTCACATGACTGGCTGGGCGTGGCTTGTATATAAATATTGTAAATATTTATGTAAATGTTGATTTTTTTTTATAAAAAAGAGCAACTTTTACCCAAAATCAGGCAAAGCAGGCAGGCAGATTGAGTTGCTCACAGAATCACAAATTCACTCAGAGATCTCTCTTTCTGCAATCTGCCACATAAAATTTGTCTGTCAAAATTTGTCACATAAAATTTGCTTGCAAGCAAACTCACAAAATTAACTCACAACACACCAGTGAGTCTGCACTGAAAAATAGAAGCTTCACTCCTAAGGAAGGCTCAGCTCTGCTTTTTAAATTAGCTAAAAAGCAAGAAAATCCAAGATTTCCTGCTTTCTAGCTAATCTAAATATCCTGGCACAGCTGATAGTCAGAACAGCTGATGATCGGTGGGAAAAAGGAAAAATAGCAACATACCAAAACTTAGGCAAAGGCATAAGACAGGCAATTTGAATGGTGCACATGCTAGGTAAGGAGTGAATGGGCAGGGTAGGAAGGGGAGGGGCCAGCCAGTGGCATGATTTGCCAGTTCTCCAAACTGTGCAGAATCATAACAACCAGTTCTATAGAGCTGGTCCCACCAGGTAGAATCCCATCCCTGCATCAGCAGCATATATATGAGAGTTGGTTCAATGAATAGATGCAGACAGGCTCTGTTTAACAAAAGTAACAGGCTTGCAGCCCCTCCCTTGTATGACCATAAGAAAATGAATGAGATTTTGAGACTAGAGTCCTCTCCTCATTTTGGGTGGGAAATATCTAGGTTAGCTGGTTGTCTTGTTAGAGATGCCACCAAACAAGAAACCTGTTCAATTTTAAATAAATGGATGCAGAGTTTGCACAGCTTCACTCCTTTAATCTTCATTTCCTTTTCTGAGATATTTTAAAACAATTAGATAAGGTTTGCAGGCATAATTATCCTTTGTTTACCAACCTCCATTTAACTAAGTTGAAAGCTTCTTGTGCAAAGAAATTTTCCCCAATGGGGAATCATGAATTTATACATAGACATACACCCTATATTGGAAAATCTCCATCTCATAGAATTATAGGCATGGAAGGGACTTCAATGATTTTCTAGTCCAGCTAGAAAATCTTTGAAGTTCCTTCCATGCCTATAATTCTATGATTCTCCATAAGGAGCCTTATTCCATCCTAGGCAAATGGTTGTATAGTCTGCTTTTGAAAATTCCAGCTTCTCAGTGCTCTCTAAATGGTTTACAGAGTCAGCATATTGCTCCCAATATTGCTCTCATTTTACCGACCTCAGCGAATGGAAGTTTGATTCAACCTTGAGCCAGTCAGAATCGAACCCTTGGAATGAGCAGTGAGTTAGCCTGCAGTACTGCATTTTAACACTGTGCCATCATGGCTCAATGGTGATGGTGCTGTCTCTATCCAATATTTTTCTATCTTATTAAGAAGTAGGTTATGGCTTGCTTTGTCAGGTGTCTGGCTGAAGTCCAAGTATACCATGTCCACAGCCATCACAAAGATGTTTTTCAAAAGACAACTGGACTTTGTTTTTTCCTTGAAGACAAGGTATTCTCCAAAGCGCCAGAGGGCAGAACAAGAAGCAATGGATGGAAACTAATCAAGAAGAGAAGCAACCTAGAACTAAGGAGAAATTTCCTAACAGAACAATTCATCAGTGGAACATCTTGCCTCCAGAAGTTGTAAATGTTCCAATACTGGAAGTTTTTAAGAAGATATTGGATAACCATTTGTCTGAAATAGTATAGAGTTT